AAGAGATCAACCGAAGGACTTGTGTGCATGCATATAAGCATAACCAATGGACACAAGACACTGGGGCGTGTGAGAGGCTAGGGGAAGGTCAAGGGGAGAATAAAAAAAGGAGACATATGTAATACTCTTTGTAATACTTTAAGCAATAAAACAATTTTTTAAAAAAATAAGCCTGGACAGGCAGGCCGGGCTCCTCCAGGAGGGAAAGTGCAGACACTCACAGACTGGTCAGAGGTGGTTAGAGGCGACGGTGTGACGCATCACACTGGTGAGGCGGATCACCCTTTCTACACTAGGACTGTGACTGAACAGGTAGGGGGCAGGACACTTACCGCTCACTCCCCAGGTATCACACAGCTGTTTTCACACTACCTACATTTCAGAGTGTTTTGCTTTGTTTTGTTTTCCAGAGACGAAACTGAAGTCCAGAGGGGCTGTCACTTACCAAATAGCAGAGCTAGGATTCAATTCCACATCTGCCTTCAACCCACAACTCCAGAAGCGGTCTGGCCTTTTAAATGGATTCAGCAGGTAGCCCTGGCCACGCCCGTGCTCCTCCCACTGCAGCGTGCAGCCCTAACCACCCACCTGGCTCCCTTCCAGACAGAGAGCTGGGCTCAGTCCGCTTAACCTTACTTCCCTGGCCCCACTTCTTCTGAGCTTCTTATAGGCCCTGGCTTTTATGAACTCGTAGTTATTTAGATCAGTTAGAATACAGTTTATTCAGGTAGAGCTTTTTCATAGTTACATCCTAAAGCCTCCGGACTACTTGTGTCCAGCTCTTCTCAGTAACACATGTACAAACCTTTCCTGGAGATGAAAGGCTTCTGACGTGACTACTCTCAAACCCTCGCATTATTGGCGTTGTTTCTGTCTTAAGGAATGGCTTTTGGTAGACCTGTCCCCGGAGTGTCCTGACTATGGTAAATGCTGACCATGCTGACCAGCTAGTTAATCCTTGCAGAACAGAGTGTTGGATTTTACCGTTTAGTATTAAGTTCCTCCGCAGAGAAACAATTTAGAAATTCATTTTTTGGTGCAGTCTTTAAAACACATGGTCATGCTCATTTCAGACCTGGGATCTCTGTTAACGGTCAGCTCTACTGTGTTCAGTGCGATGATCTCTTCCCCACTGACTGTAACCCAGGGGTGGGGAACATCTGGCCCGCGGGCCGATAAGGCCACAAAATCACTTGGCCTGGCCCTGCCGAGGCATTAGGGATGAGTTCATTAAATGTTTGACCAAATATCGCAGGCTAATTTTAAGTTGATAATTTGTATGGCCCTCGAATGATGTGATAAACATCCAAATGCCCGTTGGCAGAGAAAAGGTTCCCCATGAGCAGGAACCCTCCTGCCTGGTTACTGCTGCTGTGCCCTGTGCCTGTGCACAACTTGGACCGGCTTCGCTACCCTTCTCGTTTGTAGGTGGGTAAATGGGAACTCCCTCGGGTCAGGCAGCCCTGGAGAATTAACAGCCCTGGCAAAGGTCTGCGGAGTTCTTTTCCATGTAAATACACCGGTGACACCTCATGGGGCTCTGTCTGTGCCACCACAAAGGTTTGCTCAATTGTTGTGAAACTACCATAATAATCATGGGCATTATATTAACCCACGAGTTCTTGGGAATACTTACAAAATAAAATCGTAAAGATTTATCTCAGACAATACACTTTCTTACTTCAAAACTTACAAATGAGAATAGACAGGGGGGAAAAATGGAACCAAATAGAATCCCAACAAAAAAAGAACATTATATAGGAAGTTAGGTAATAAAGGAGGCATTTCAAATCAGTAAAGAAAAGATGAATGAGTCAATATGTGATATTGGGACAATTAATCATGAAAAGATTACATTCTTAACACACCATACAGAAAGATAAATTTCAAAAAGGGATAAAATATGTACATGTTTAGTTTTTCATAAAATCAAGATTAAAGCATATGGGAAATATTTTTAATGTAAGAATAGAGGAGGAGGATGGGTTTTACAATGCCAGGCAGTACACACAGCCCCTAGTAAACACCCAAAATGAACTCCCTGAAAAGGGGCCAAATACATTCTCAACAAGGAATCCTTTCACAATTCATAATCACATAAAAATATAATTTCCAACACTGGACAGAGATCAAGGTCAAAAACATTATTTTAAAAAACTAATACTGCTTAATATGTAAAAAATATAAAACTACAGCAAAAGGCATTACAGAGAGCAAAAGATAAATGAGCAGGTAAAATGTTGACAAAACAGGACAAAGGGTCACTCTCCATAATGTGTTAAAACTTATCAATCAAAAAGGAAAAAATGAAATAGAAAAGCAGGCAAAGGACACGAGTAGGCAAGTGGTCATGAAAAAATACTTTACTCATAATTGATTACATGCGACTTTAAATGAGATGCTCTCACAAATCCAAACTGATCATCCTTCAGCTGGGGCCATGGGAACCCAGGCCCTCTCCGCACCGCTGCGCACACAGCATTGCCGGAGGGCAGAGTCCAGCGTTTTCCTGTGCAATTGCTCTGGCAATTCAAGTTGTAGAAAGTGACCCTACAGACATGCCCCCAGAGGGCACAGGCGAGTGTAGCAGCATTGTGCCAGTGAATTGAAAGCTCTCTAAATGCCCATGAATGAGGAACTTTAAATCAGTCAGTCCTTCCGTGCAGTGAAATGCTTCTGCAAAGCCATTGTTCTAAAGTGAGGCAGGTCAACACAGACCGACGTGTGAAGGTGCTCCATAATATGTCATTACGTGACTTATTAGACAGTATACGTGGGAAAAGCCCAGTATTTTTAAAGTGATATAATGTGTAAACATGAAGGATATCCATGTGCCTATCACTGGGGAGTGAAAATATGGGACATTCACCTTTTAACCTCAAGTGTTCATTAACTTTCCTCTAAATCTGTATTACATTTAGAATCCAAAAAGACTCTAAGCCCTTAAGAATTAGCAATCATTTGAGAAAAGACCCCAGGTTTTCTAAGACCTGTATGCTTCCTCCCCACTGCTCCAAAGAACCTTCCCAAAGCCAAGAGGGTTCAGACTGTCCTTGCCCTAAATAGGAGATCGCATCTCTCCACAGAGTCCCTCCTCTCCTGGGATTAAAAGCCACAGGGAGGACGACTGCACATAGCACTGGGAAGACAAGAACACAGCCACTAGTAAATATGTGGTGTAAACCCCAAAGGACTCCCTGAAATAGGCAGAATACATTCGCAGAAAGGGATCCTGGGAAGATTTACAACCCACACAAAACCAGCTATTCCCACAGGCCTTGCCAATGAGATCCACGCATCAGCCCTGCACCAGCTTTACTACCGGCGGAGGTAGCCGGCGTCCAGGCGGGTCAGCAAGCCGCTACTGCGCACATGAGGAGATGGGACCCATGGGCTCGAGAGCCACGGGGGGATCCATCGGCTCTGATGTCCCAGGAGTTATAGCGAGTTCTTCATTCACCTCCAAGAAAGCACCGGTCTCTTGGGGAGAGGTGGAGCTCTTGTTGCGGCAGCCTTCTGCACAGCCCGGGGTCTTTTTTCTGTGTTTATTCTTCAATCTCCTCTTGTACAGCTTATATGCTAGATGTGAAAACACACAAGTAATTTTAAAAAATCATGTTAGCAAGGATTATAATTTGGTGACCTTGAGAATTTGTTTGGGGTCATGTATGTATTAACACGCAGGAAACTATGAAACAAAATAATTTATTGTATCAAAATGGCAACTCTGTCTGGAATGGACCATTTGTGAAAGAGACTTAGTCATGAGCTCACCGACGGCTCATCCGTCGCAACTGTCAGTCTGTCAGCAACTCCCATGGAGCTGGGAATCCCATGTTCCTTCCCTCACGGTCTCACCAGGAGAAGGAATTCAAGCCTGAGTCGAAGTCCAGGTGTCTCTGAGGATTTCCCTTATCTTGTTGGAAAAGTAAACCCCCAGTATTCCTTATATTGATTGTTATATCAGTAATCAGTATATAATCAGCTGTATCAGCAATCACTGAGACTTACTCAGCGCCTGTTCCCTGACAATAATAAAAATTGACCATGGCCCAAGATTAAAATACATATGTGTGTGTTCATATCTACCCATCTATATATTTTTTAAATTTACCTTATGAGTCTAAATAGTGACTGATTCCAAAATGACGTGTATTTGGCTGTATGAGTAGACAGCAAACAAGGTGGGGCAAAGTAGGTGTATAGTTGTCAGTACGTGAAACACAGAGTTTGTTCTTATTTGTTATTTATTAACTAGAGGCCTGATGCACGAAAATTCGTGCAAGAGTCGGCCTTCCTTCCCCCAGCTGCTGGCACTGGCTTCCCTCCAGCACCTGGGACCCAGGCTGGCTTCCCTCGGGCCGCCCACAGGCACCCAGGACTGTGGCTGACTTCCCTCCGGCTCCGGCTTCATTAGGAAGGAAGTCCGGAATGACGTCCGGAAGATGTCCAGTCTAATTAGCACATTATCCTTTTATTATTATAGATTGTATTATTTTCCATACGAACAACTGTAAACCTATTTTTGCCCCACCCTGTATACACACACACACACACACACACACACACACACAAATAATCATTGCATTCCAGTTGACAATTTGCGTTCCAAGTTTCCTTTCCAAAATCATCTTTTTTAAGTCAGAGGCAAATAAAAACCACAATACATAGTTGCTTACAGAACTGACAAGGGATCCTTGAGTCCAACAGACCTGGTTGGCATCAAGGATTCAAGCACATTATGAAAATCTCCACACGACTCAAAAATTTTTTAAGTACAGAACTGAAGTTTACATCCACAAATCTGTTTGATCTCTGCAGTTGCAAAACCATATGGCACACAGAGAGAAACAAATTATCTCTGCTTATGAAATAAGAACCTTCTGTAGGCTTTGGGACAGACCAACAGCTAAGATTGTCCTGGTTGCTGCATATCACTATAATTAACTCTCTCTGATCCTTTTGAAGACTTGGGAGTTTTGTTTTGTGTTTGGGTGGGGTTTTTTGGGGGGTGGGGGGGTTATGGGAATTAGAGACAAGAAGGAGGTCACCAATGGCAGATGGGGAGAATACTAAGAGTAACCTCAGACACAAGAATTTCAATATACTCTTTCTATGAATATTTAGATAGGATATTTTTTATTTTATTCAATCACATTTATTGAGGAGGAGATGTACAAAGCTATGCCTCTCAATATTTACAATGTAGTGCAGAGTTGTGCTGGTGAAAAGGGATGTGTCCTGATTCTACATGACTGTCACTTCCGGAATAAAACCAGTTTCATAATCAGTGTAATTTCCCACTCAGTGACTACGCAGAACAAAAAGCAAAAAATATGCCATGGCAAATGACATTAAGTAACTTAAAATGTCATTGAATAGTTCTGTTCCTGCTTCTATTCCTGTCACTACCCATCCCCAACCCCATCATTCATTAAGTTCCCACCAAAAAGAAAAAAAAGTTTAAAAATAACGTACACTTCCAAAAGCAAAAGTAGTAAGTAAGGGGATTTAAAATTTTATCTATGACACCAACAAGATTTGAGAAAATACATCATAACCAATGGACTCTTAGTGCCAGCAAAGACAATTTCAGAGGCACTGTGGTCATACAGATCCAGAAGTGTAACAAACGAAAATACAAATCAAGAGTGAGCAGAAAAAAGGGAGTGAATATTTTTAAAGGTAGAAGGATCACTTCCTGGATACACAGTGATTTTATACAGAAAGTGCATTTAGGGGTGATGGGGTAGAAAGCATCTATAATTTTGCTTTCCTAAGAGAAGACGTTACCCTTGAGAGCCCTGCCTCGCTTCCCATGGGTGGGACTGGGGTGAGGAAAGAATTTCCCCAACACCTGATGTGATAGAGCAGGTGGCGCAGAGGTTCATCTCTGAAGGACTGGCTTAGAGTCATAAAGAATGAGAGTCATGGGGTCTCAGAAACACTGGGTCCCAGAAGCATTCCTTGCATTTTGTCTCTCTCTTACTTATACTGTACCCAACCCAATGCCTTCCGGTGACACTCTATCCCACCCCCACCAAATCACAGCAGGAGCTCAGGGCCCAGGAGCCCGGCAGCCAAACATCTCCAAGGAGCCAACTAGGCAGGGTTCACGGGAGAAACTTCATCTCTTCAGCTATGATCACTTCCAAATTTAAATGCCTTTAAAACCAACCGGTATACATGACAAGTGCAGTCCTGGGAAATCAGGTAACATGTCACCGGGTAACAGCATTAATGTTTACCTGGAATCCGATCTGCTTATTTCTAAACATGCTTATACTTCTTTTCTTTTTTTTTAAGGTCACTTTCTATGTAAAGGTGAGCTACAATAGAGAATACCTTTTATTCATTCACTATCTAATCTTGCTGTTCCCGAGCCAGGTCCCTACTGAGGTGGGGGTGGCGTCACATATTGGGCAGCCAATAGTTGAAGACAGCCTTTCCCTTTCCTTCTCTTTTGGTAGACAGTTTGTTCAGATAAGCCATTCAAAATACATTTCTGGATTTTTTAAAAATATATTGTATTGATTTTTTTACAGAGAGGAAGGGAGAAGGAAATGGATAGAGAGTTAGAAACATTGATGAGAGAGAAACATTGATTCAGCTGCTTCCTGCACACTCCCTACTGGGGATGTGCTCGCAACCAAGGTACATGCCCTTGACCAGAATCGAACCTGGGACCCTTCAGTCCACAGGCCTACGCTCTATCCACTGAGCCAAACCGGTCAGGGCCATTTCTGGATTTTCTTTGTGGAGCAGGGAGAAATGGCCCAATAAATGCCCACAGGGACTCCAGAATACGCAACATCTCCACCTGCTCAAGGGTAATCACTGCTTGTCTGCCTGCCCGATGGTACTTTTAATTCTTCCCACAACCTAAGGCTTCTCAGGTGGATTTCAAAACCCATTGTTTTCTTCATTTTCCCTTTTAGTGGCGGCCTCTCTATACCTCTTGACTACAGACAGAGAGAACAAAGGGTAGTCAGACCCATAGATTTCTGTTCTTGACCTTCTTTATAGGGTAAAGATGTTGGTGCCCAATACTGCAACCAGAAAAGGGAATGTGAGTTGCATGAGTGACAAACAGAACCTACAAAGGAAGAAAAAGAAATCAGCCAGAAGTTCTCATTACCCAACTTAGGCTATAACAAAAAATGATTTTAAATAAATAAGTAAATAAGGACTCTAGCCAGGACAGAAATTGATTTAGCAAGGAAAATCCATCCCTACAGCACAGCACTTTTACAGTACCGTGTTGGAGTTTTCATGTTTTGAAAAATGAGACGCTGACTGATACACTTAGCCAAATATTCTGATCTGTCATCATTCCAAATATATGGGCCCATCTTTCAACAAACAAATTAGCAGGTAATACATCATCACCAAGTGCTCACCCTTCCCTGGGAGCTCTATAAATACAGAGTGATCATGACTGGCAGTTACTGAGCTTAAAATGTAAAACGCTGCTAACTTCACTGGAGCCACACTGCAAAAGTCCCTGATGTCAATTAGAAGTTCGGTGTCAGAAAAAGCTTTATGCACTGAAATTCTTTTACGGAGGGAAGATAAGGAGACAGAAAATAGATTACACTTATAACCCCTTTATTTGATCATGGAGAAAAGATGAATGCACCTTGGGCGATGAATGGCTCCAATATTTTTTAAGTGTGTCTAGGGTGGGATGAGCAACCCTGAATTTGGGAGAATTGTAAATGGAAAGAAAAACAGCCCTTCCCCCCAATTCCTCCTACTAAGAGCAATGCAGAGCACATAAGTTTCCCAATACAGTAAGAGCTGCAAAGCTAGCTCTCCCGTCTCTAGTCCTCAGAAATGACTCATGCAGCCTCCAAGATCCTGATTTAAACAACAACCACTTTCTGAGGGCAAAAGGGGAGTCAAGTTCTTAAATCATTTAATTCTGCCAATTAGTTCCGCAACTATGGCATAAAAGAACTATGGATATTTATCCACTGGAAGTGGATCAAAAAGTGGGCTCTCTTAATGCCTATTAAATAGTGCTGATTTTCAAGCATCACTGACCAAGGTCAAATTTGAACCAAAGTGAAAGCCTCCACTTCCCCACCACTAATCCCTTGAGCCATCCATTCTTCCCAAAGGCAAATGGTTTGTAGGAAGGGGAAGAATATACCACACAGTATGTATAGCACTTCATATGACGGCTTTCTACACTACACTGAGCTTACCTACCTCCCATTTACCTATGAAATGTTAAAGAAATGAAAACACCCAGGAAACTTCCAGACATGATATCACTACAATATTGATACATACAGAAAATCAAAGAATTAAGTGCTTTATCCCATGTCAATTAGGTAAAATCTCTGGTTGATATTTCATTTTCTACTATCAGTTGGAGGAATGAAAAGATACCGCCCTAAGCATACTTTCCAATTGACAAGATTATCTTCTATAAATGTGATGCTGGGAAAATTGTATGATGATCAAACTTAGGTTCCACTGGATTAAAAACTACACCTAGAAAAGTTTGGGCTCAGGAGCTCCAAGGGATGAAGAAAAAAATAAAACAAACACAGTGAGCTGTGTGCTTGGTGGGGTGCAAGTACAATGAACTTAACCAATTCATGACCCAAAAAGAAAAGCTTCCAGGGTGCCCAAGAACCTCATTGTCCAATTTCTTTATAAACACCATAAATACCACCCACGCCCTCACAATCAAATACATACTGCTAGGTAGACTTCAACTAAATATAATATACCTATTGAAACAAAGTTAACCATAGTCCATTTCTACAGTTCACTCTTAGAATCATGAGCTGTAAAAATTTACCTGGGTGCGCTAGAAACCAATCACAAAG